TAATAAGGATTATTTTAAAGCCAGGTTGGCTGCAGAGACTGTAAGCAGCCAGAGGCTGAACTGACGTCTCTCTCTGCACCAAACATCGCTTTAAACGCTGAGCTCAAAAACGTGGCGAGGACAAAGCAGGTTAGTGGTCTCACCTCGTGGCAGCTGAGAGGACGCGCTGCTGATCTGTAAGCCGTTTGGCTGCTGCGAATCAATGTCCTCTCTCGACTCTCTACCCCCTCCTCGCCCCCTCCCTTCCCTCCCCTCACCCTGATCATCTCCCCCCAATGCTCGGGTCCTGACCCAACTGTACAGCGCCTTGGGACGTCCTCCCGACGTGAAAGGCGCTCTATAAATGGAATCTTGTTGTTGTTGTCTAACGGCCGCCAGAAATGTACAGCAGCAGCAACGACAACTTGCACTTACGTAGCACCCTTCGAGCAGGGTAGGGTCTGGGACAGTGGCGGAGCCTGACACCGAGCTAGGGTTTGTGTGTGTGTCTGTGTGGTGGGGGGTTGGGGGGGGGGGGGAGGGAGAGGAGCATGTGGCCGAAATGTAATGAGAATATTGCCAGTTTGGCCAACGAGGTTCCTTTCGAGAACGTTTAGCCCTTTGTCCAGTCTCACACTCGACTACACGCTAATGGTGAGCCCTCGACACCAACAGGGCTGCTCACGCCCGCGGCTCACCTTCAAACAAAGGGCCCGTTTAACGGGACGAAGGTCGGGGCTTTGCAACGGGAAGGGTCACGGCTGGACCCCCCCCACCGCACCCATAAGCCACCCCTGAGCTGAGGCCAAGGCTCCCAGGGCCAACCCTGTGTGAAACAGCAGTCGAATGAGATGGGACTATGTTAGGATTGTACAGGAACTTTTCTTATTAAAAAAGGCTCAGCATCGCACAGCCCTCCCGCAACTCAACACACAGCAGCGTGTGTTTTTCTTCGACCCAGCCGGGTGTCTGACGCACGCGGAAACCCATCGCCGCGCCTAAGATTATTCAGAGGTCACGTCAAAGAGAAATAGTATTTTTTTTCCCCGAACTTGTCGTTTTCTGAAATAGCCACAAGAGGGAGAGGACGGGGGCTGAACATAGCCCGGGAAATAATTCCTCCCCCCGAGAAGAAATAAAAGACGTGGTTTGCGGAGCTCGCGCTGTGTTCAGGACACTGGCATCACCTGTCCAGGTGTCATCACACGCGGTGCCGTGAGAGGGGCTGTGGTCTGAGACCCACGTTATTTAACGGATCGGAGGCCAGAGAGCAGCCACTGTGTCACTCTCACCCCGTGATTTTCTCCCCGTGACTCCCTCTCTGTAACTCTCTCTCTGTAACTCTCCCTCTGTACCTCTCTCTCTGTACCTCTCTCTCTGTAACTCTCTCTCTCTGTAGCTCTCCCTCTCCGATCCCACATCGGATCACCGCACGATCACCAGACAGGCCCTACGAGCCCTTGTTTTATTGCTAACAATTATTAGCGACAGGTCTATTCATTTATTTGACAATATTAAAGTCTGACCTCTCCTCTGGGCTTGAGCTGAGCCACTTTCCTGCTGAAAAGGCCAATCGTTCTGGTGTATAAACACAACAGAAGCCAACACAGCATCGAGGGAATGAGTGACATTTTTTTTTACAGCTTGAATTTTTAAAGTAACACCATTTTTTTTGGGGGGGGTGGTGGGCAAAAGGCAACCTGACATGGTCCCGACCCTAAGGTTTCCCACAGGCAGTCAGGTGCAGGGTACGAATGGGAAAGATACAGATCGGAACTGAACTTGATGTTACTGCTGCTACAGCCGGTCGTGACCACCAACAAACCAACCAACAACTCGCACTTACTCAGCGCCCCTCATGCAGGGTAATGCCCCAGAGCGCTCGACAGTGGCGGGAGCACGACCCCCCCAAAGCCGGAGAGAGTTCCGGATTTCAAGGGTAGAGCGGCCACCGCTGGCGGAACGGAGGGCACCGGGGAGAAGCCGGAGGCTGGAGCCAGTCGATCGGAGGCAACGGGTAGTGGGGTTGGGAAGTACGCAGGTCGGGGAGGTGTGTGGGAGGGGGTGGGGAGAATGGTGGGGAGGGGGAGGGGTGCCAGGGCCGGAGGGGATTCGGAGACGAGTGTGAGGATCTGGAAATCGATCCGTTCGGTGATAGGGAGCCAGTGGAGCCTGGCGGGGACTGACTGGCGTGATGATGGTAATGCACACTGACTGACACGAGAGCAGCTCAGCAGCCTGAGGGGAGCAAGCTCCTAGCCTCTGTGGGTTAGTACTGCGCCAAGACAGAGAGTGCAAACAGTCTTCTCGTAAAGCCGAGCATTTAAGGAGACCAGTGCAACCGAAAAAGAGACCAGGTCAGACGACAACTCACAGCACATCTTCACAAAATATAACAATAGATCTTCGTATGTACAGTTGATATCTACAGCTCATATGCAACGGCCTGGGTATTACTTTGAATGAAACGCCATTTGACGCAGTCGTCAGTGCAGAGGGCTTCACTGGTTTCGAGGGAGAGAGAGAGAGCAAGAGAGAGAAAGAAAGGATTCGAAAGAAAGCACAGATTCCCCGTAATTCTGGTTCTGACACTGGCAACTCATCCAGATTCTGTAGCTGAAACGTGTATGTTTCTAATGAGAAACATCTCTCTGTGACTTTCTCTCTCTCATTCTGTCCGTGACTCTCTCTCTCTCTCTCTCTCTCCAAGGCTTTCTCTGTGTGACTTACTCATTAGTTTTGAAGCTTGTATGTTTCAAAACTAATGAGAGCTCCTCTGTTCCAGAGGCAGTAACACTGAACGCGTTATCACTGACAGATACGGAAATTTGGGGGAATTTATGCTTTTAGTGTTAGGTGGTGAAGTGAGTGATCACTTGGCAGTCAGGTACACGATTACTTGGTGAGAGATCCACAGCCCCCATCAGGCTATAAGCTGTGCTTACCTTCACTATATAACAATTATTCCGTGCAGTGCCTTCAACAGAATCAAGATTGAGTTGCAGACAGATTACACTGACACTCTTTATGCTGTTAAGAATGTTTTCGCTTTCAATTAAATCCTAGAGTGTGGCATAATAATGATAACACTATGAATAATAATCCTTGCATTTGACACAGCGCCTCGTAACATCATTGAGACGTCTCAAAGCTCTTCACAGACTATATTGTAAAGTGGAGTGACTGTGTCTTTTGTGGGCGAAAATAGGCCACCAAAGATAAGTTGGGGGGGTGAGGTGGATGATGGGTGAGGTGGATGAGGTGGGGGTGAGAACTTTCACTGTGTTGTTGCCAATGAGCTGAGTCCATGTTCTGAGCTGACAGCTAATGACAACAATATCCATTGGGCTAACATGAATATAAAAAAAAGTCCTCCAAATCCCAGTCACTGGAGCCAAACTTCAGGTGTCAGGTTTGCGCTCATCCCTATAGGTCGGTCGGGTTAAAGAAAGGATCGTGGACCTGAGACCCTTTTAGGAATAATGTGGGTTTGTTTCTTTTGGGGGTGATTTATGCAGCAAAGCCTCAAATTCACCAAAAAAGTTCTGCAGCCCTGAGCCGCGTGGAAATGCCAACCCGCACTCTCAGTACGCGACACGGCCACATCTAACTAAACTGCTGCGCGTTATAGAAACAAAATCAGGGAAAAATACAAAAATACGGATAAGAACCCTCATCAACCCGGCCTCGCCCAGCCTCAAGACGGCAGCCAGGAGGCGGGAGAGAAAGGGCACGGGAAGAGTCTGTGTTTGGCGTCTCTTTGCTTAGGTAATGGCCGAAAAGGTAATTAGTAACCTCCACCCTTCCACCACCTTTCCCCACCGGCCCCCCGCCTCCCCTACCCTCCCCCACCCCCACCCCCGCCCCGCGCCTGCCCCCGAGAAAAAAAAAGAAGCAAGTCAAGAGCTGTAGACTCAAAGCGGTTAGAATTTAACCTGGAAATTCTGTAGCTTCATTTCAAACAAGATGGGGCAGGCAGCAAAAAAAAACATCTCCCTCGGATTACTGTTCCCAGACTTTCAGCCACAGCGACGTGTATCAGTGTCAATATTAAAACTCTGACTGTTCAGCTACTCTGGGCGTTTGATGATCGTGGAGTCCTGTAGCTCAATGGTTAGAGCACTCGCTTTGCAAGTGAGAGACCCGAGTTCAATTCCCGGCGAAACCTTGGGCAAGTTTCCTTACTCCACACAGAGCCTAATAATAATCCTCCAAAACCAAAAACAATAATAAATTGGTCATTTTCAATCTACGACTGTTTGTGGGACATTGCTGTGCGCAATTGGCTGCCGCGTTCGCCCACAAATATACAATCAATTCACTTTACAGTGTGTTCTGTGTAGCGCTTTGGGACGTCCTCCTGACGTGAAAAGCGCTATATCAAATGCAAGGATTATTATTATTATCAACCGGAATCTTTTACCCCCCAAAACACTTGAGGATACAACTTGCGACCCCACCCCCCCCCACCCCCGAAACCTCCTGCACCTTTTCACCCCCACCGTATCCCTTCCCACTTCCAGAAAGTCAAACCGTTTCCGCGTGTCTCCCACCCGGGGCTGGAAACCCAACAAGGGAGACAGTAACACTAGAAGTTTACGAGAACGTTAAGAGGGTTGTATGACCTCTGTGTGGGTCCTGATGGCTGATGTTGGGACAGTGTTGGCAGAAGGTCTTGTGGGTTGATCGTGCGATAAGATGTCAGACTACAGCGCACACAGGAACTCAATCCCAGTTACTCATTCACTCAATTCCATATTCTCATCAGCGGCTAAACCACAGTCACCTTTCCAGTCACCTGCCTTGCGTTTCACAACTCCTCTGGGGTATCTCAGCCAACTCCACTCCCTCCAACCTCCTCCATCCCCGCCTCCGTCCAGGTGTCGGACACCCTGGCTTGAAAAGCACAGCCATCATCACCAAACCATCAGCGAGAGCGCTGTGTTGGTCAGCGTCCCGGCTCGGGGGGGGGGGGGGGGAGATAGCGATTAGACACAAAACTCTCACATAGGCAGCCGGAGTTTAAAGGGTAACACTGTGCACATTTAATAATTGGTTCTTGACCGAAACGCATCAAATGCCAAACAGAATGAGAGGAATGCCGCGTCTTTAAGCAATCACACGACTTTCGTTGCGGGTTATAAAGCTTAGTCAGCAAAGATCCCAAATACACAGAGTGCTGGGCGGGGGATGTATTTCATACGGCTATCACTCTCTCTCGCACACTGATAATTTTTGGCCAATTTCAACTGCAAGTTTCAAGGAAGATCTCAACAGGAATCACACACACGCGCGCCTTTTTTGCACCGACCGACTGCGGTTCGTGTGAATAGAATTACACGATGGGATGTGAAGCTAAAGACTTCTACAGTTACTTTAACGTACGTGACGGATACAATCGTATTAGTTTCTCCACACTTTATATATTATAGTGATAGCTGATATGGGCCTAGACATTAGTGAGATATATTTCTGGAATATATTTGCTTTTAAGATAAAGATTCTGATATTTAATGTAAAACTGCCCCGTATTTTTTTTTGTGTGTTTTTTTTTTCGGCTACAGGCGATATTACATTGGTTTGTCTGGTAGCCTTGAAACACTGTAGGTGGGGTGTAGTATATGGTTGATGTGATAAAACCACAGACAAGCTTCACTGTATGGGAGGTCGAGACTGGTAAAGGAATACCGCATAAATAAGCATCATTGGAAAGCATTAAAACCCTGCGGACGTTACATCAGCTAAAAGATGGGAGGTTAGAAGGGAACCTGTCACTGAGCTAAGGATTCTGAGAATGATTACGCACTAGCACCCTGCAGCCAACAGAGGGGAAAACATACCAGTTATGGAGTCACGGGAAAAAAAAAACAAGTACTTGTCAGCACAGAATCAAATCTATCGGCGATGTTTTCGTAGCCTGTACGTAACCTGTGCAGGATAAGAGTTTATTTCGTTCTGTTCGGGTTAGAGGCAGTGCGCTGTTCAAATGGCACGGACACCAGGTCAAAACTTGAAGAGGAAGTGAACGAAGATTATCACCAGCAGCCAGAGAGAAGAGGTCATCCCCGCAGGTGCGTTGTTGTGGTCCTGGACTGCTCCGGGTCCTGAGGAGAAACCAACCAGGTAGCCATCATCATCATCAGCGAGCCGCATTGCTTCTGAATCACAGAGAGACACTCTGCACCCTGTTCTCTCTCTCTCTCTTTCTGAAATACATCTGTTAGATGCCTGTGCACTGCCTCGTTCATCAGTCCCCATCTTCTAAGAGACTGAATCCCCTGCGTACACCGTATGTGTGGTGTATCGGGTTATAATATACAATAATAACCCTTGCATTTGATACAGCGCCTTATCACGTCTTCGAGACGTCTCAAAGCGCTTCACGGGATCCACCGTAAAGTGTACTGACTGTACATTTTGTGGGCGAAACGCAGCAGCCAAATGTGCACAGCAGCGTCCCAGAAATTTAGCGTGGGTCTCCGAGGAACCTGCACCTGAGCACAAGAGGACTTTGGAAGCGAGGAGGGAAACTAGGAGACTGAGATATAGGCCAAAGGCAGGCGAGAAGCAGCCCAGGGAAGAGATAGTGAGGCTCTTCTAAGGGGACAGTCAAGATTAACTGCTCGTTTTATCATGCAGCTTCACCCCTCGTCCGTGACACATCTGGTAAAAGTCTGACTGATGAGGGTAAAGTGGATTAACTGTGTATTTTGTAGGTGAAACACAGCAGCCAATTGCGCACAGCAGTGTCCCACAAACTAATCGTGGATTGAGTGACCAAATTATTATTATTATACTGCGTGTGGGGTATATTGGGCTAGCACATGAAATGCTTACCAACTTTGCCCTGTCTGTTACAGTGCTGAACCTTCCTACCACGTCAGAGCGTAGACTATGAGTATGTAAGTAAATAGAGGAAAAACTGTTTCCTTTCATTGGGGAATTTGGTGGCAAGAGTGAGCAGTCATTACTGTCAGCAAAGGAAGCAGGGAGAGGTCGATGGGACTTTCTTCACTCAGGGTGTGGCATTCATTACTAGAAGTGTGAGGAATCATTCAAAGGGGAACCGGGAAAGCATCGAAACGATAAAAAAAAGAAAAGATGCGAAGACAGAGAGAGCAAAAAGTGGGGTTAATATTGAACGGTGACAATACAAATATGATGGGCCGAACAGCCTCCTGTTCTGAAGCTTTGATGTGGCTTCAAAGACCTGCCAGGAGGAAGGGCGGGTGGCAGGAGGTGCAGATAACGACAAATAATAATCCTTGCATTTGATACAGCGCCTTATCGCGTTGTTGAGATGTCTCAAAGAGCTTCACAGGACATACTGTGAAGTGAACGCCCCAAAACTCTGGAACACTCTTACTCTAATCCCTCCGCCTTGCTCCCTCCTTCACCATCACCTCCCCCCCTTCCCCCTGGCTCGGTGTTGTGCTCCGCCACTGTCAAGCGCTCTGGAACGCCACCCTGCGTGAGGGGGCGCTGTGTAAATGCAAGTTGTTGTCCAATTGACTGTGTGTTTTGTGGCGAATCGAATGTCAAGAGGGATGTCTGCTGTTACAGCGTCCGTTGCCTACACAGCTGGTACCCTCTCATGTACCACAGCCCAACACAAGGGGATCCAGTCTCTTTAATCCTAATCTCAGCCTTGCCCCAGTCACCGCACATTTGTTCAAACCACTGCCTTCGCAAGAAGACAAACCCGCTGGAAATGCCCGGGGAACTCAGGCTACACGTTTCCTGTTCTGACGTACTCTCTTCCTCCTCATTACGCTGATCACTCTTTGAAGAGCGTCTCGCTATTAATCCGACATCACCTGTTAACACTCAGTAGGCAATGAAAGTTACTCTGGGGCTAAAGTTTGCATTTTCTAAAGAGTTTTCTTGTGTTAATTAACACCAGGAACACCGACCCCTTGGTTCCAGTGCAGTCAGCTCTCCCCTTTTTAGAAGCCGTCATCACCATCTTTGATTTCATTGCGACAAGTATAGGAACAGAGGAAAACAGTGCAGAGACAGAAAGAGGCCATTCAGCCCATTGAACCTGTTGCACCAGTTTATTAGAGCTTGGTGGATCTTTTAATCTCTATCGGCCCTTGTGCCTGTACTGCACAGACTGTCTGTCTGTTCCTCATTTAAGAATCCAATACGGTTTGTCCCCGGTGCCCTCCGTTCCACCATTGATAGCCGTGCTTTTAGCCAATATGTCCCGAAACTCTGGAACACCCTAACCCTCTGCCTTGCCCCCTCCTTCCCCATCTTCAGGTGGCGCTCGAAGACCTTCTTCGTCTTCTACCGTGCCTACGGTCACCTCCCCTCTCTCCCGGCTTGGCATCGTCCTCCGCCACTGTCAAGCGCTCTGGGACTCTACCCTGCGTGAGGGGCGTTATATGAATGTAAGCTGCCGGTTGTTGTATACCATTTTAACTCTTGTAAATTCGAGCTATTGAGGTGGGGTCGTAAGTAATTATTTGGGATATGTGACAAGAATGAAAAGAGTTGACTTGCTGTGTGATGCCAAATTGTGGAATGCCAAAGGGGAACTCACTTCCCCTCATCTCTTTATACCCTCACTTGGCTCCTGACCCCTTTCACCCCTTTCACCACACATATATTTATTTATTCCCCCAAAACCATCAAGAAATACGCAGTGAAATTCACGTTCCCAAAAATATAAGAGTCTCCAGATCTGGCAGCCTTAGGCTCAAGGCTTTGTGATCGATCAGAGGGAAGGGAAAAAAAATGTTTTGGTCAGGAGAAGTTTGCATTCGCTTCTCTTTAACAAATCGCTGCTGGAAAATAAACCACAAAATGTTACAGCTCCCCACTGCGGCCAGAAATGCACAGTACAACACATTTGGTCTCCGCCCGATTGAAATCAAAACTGCTGGTGACAACATCTGAAAGAAGGCGAGTCGACTGCGCAGGAGGGATGAGCTGTCATCTGTGTTAATTAACACCAGGTAACCTTCAACATTCACAAAGCTTCCCACCGTGTTTTACTGTTTAACACAAGATGGGGCAAAATTTGCGGTATTCTTTAATACCTTCCTTGACTTAATTAATGCAGCTTTAATTAACACCACTGATTGTTGAGATCATTATTATGGGCTAGAATGTCAGCTAGTTTTTTTTTAAGCCTCACATTAAACCCGTTGTAATAGTGCGACGATATCCAGCATCCTCCTCTACCCCTCTCCCCGCCCTCTCAGCCGAAAGTGCTGGCTCTATTTGGCCTCGGCACCAATCATAAATAAAAAAAAAAAATCTGGGCCGTGTTGAGCGCAATTTTCACCGCTCACCTAAACACACACCCAGAAGATCAGTATTAAAAAATAAAGATTATACTTACCCGACTTTCTAAGGCTCGAAAAACTAAAACTCTAATCTCTCGCTCTTGGCTAGAATCCAAGATCCGTTTGAAAATCAGAGCAAGGCAGGACACTAGTTAGTCAGGGGATTACAACAGGGTTTGTGTGAGCCAGCTCACTTTTCTAGCTCATAATGATCCACACAATAGCGATGCTAATTAAAACCAGTGATAATTAATTAAAGGGTACAGGCTTAAGGAATACACTAGATGTTGCCCCACTTTTGAATAAAACAGGAAGAAGCAACAAATCCTTCGAACGACTTTTGTGCTAACCACACATTAACCACATTACAAGCTTTGCTAAGTCAGCACAGGGAGAAATTAATTTGCCAGCAAACATTTGTGTTAAATAAATACATGATTTCAAACCACATAACCACATCTGGAGGGAGGGGAAAAAAAACGATTAGCTTCCAAAGCACATGCCAACTCTGGTGAGATCATTTGTCTCTGCAGGATTTCCCACTCGGTGGGTCAGATCCAAGTCGTATTTTTTTGTTTTTTTTAGCAGGATTCGGCTTCACCCTGTTTCCCTGGACACATCACTCCGCAAAAAAANCCCTTTTCAAGCCTTTCACGCAAACACTTGAGAATCACGGCTAACAGTTTTGAAATGAAATCTAAACACTACGACCACAGAATTTCACACACATGCATATGTAGACAAAGGCATTCGGCACAGCAACTAAAACACTGAAAGCAGATTGCTAGGACTAGGCTAAATACTACACAATGGAAACACTACAAAGCAACAGAGAATTTATGGGGTTGGGATTTCAGGAATCGATTTTCTAGAACAAATTTAGTCGAAAAAAAGGAACCAATGGTGGTACCACAGACCAATTTCTCTGCGTTAATAGGTTAATTCAATATGTTAGGCACCAGTGTCTAGTTTTGCATGTTCAAGGGACACGACGACTGTTAAGTTGTAGTGCGGTTATCATTTTTCTTTCATGCACTTTTTCGAAAAAAAAACAAAAGAAACTTTTTTTTAATCTATTTCACAAACCTTTCCAATTTGCAAGAATTGTGGAAGTTTTCTCTTCTAAAGAAAAAAAAATCAAAGAAAGCGCAAAAACTCATGACCAACAATTTAAACGTCAAAAAATTAAGTTCGCAAACAACAAATGTGAAGGAGATTGCAGGAGAGAAGTTTCAGTGTTAGTTCTGTGAAGGGAGGCGAATGGTGGCGGAAACCGCATGCGCTGCTGAACTGGGCGGTGGGGGAGTGCGTAACAGGAGTGACTTCATGTGAAACCAGTCCCGTTACTCCCTGGAGCACCGGGGAAAACAGGAGTGAATGATTCCCTGCCAAGGGGAGAGGGTAACACTCGCAATGGAGTCAGACTGACTGATGGGCTGTGATATCAGGATATGCTAGCGTTATATAAGTGCAAGCTGTTGTTGTCGTCGGCACGTTAACTTGCCCTCGGCTGCTGTCAGGAAAGCTGGCACTGTCCTGGGTGGAGATGCCTCCCCTGTTTCAAACACTTTCCCGTCCTCCCTACATGGTTCAGCAGCCCAGCTGCGTTTGCTCCTGGTAGAGGCTGGACCTCTGTTGATGGCAGGCGTTTTAACAGAATCGGGACCTAAACGGAAGTGCGTCAGCACAGAAGTGCTTGAGGATTTGTGCAGGGGTTCCCCAGCACTCTGGGACGTCCTCCCCCTGACGTAAAAGGCACTATACAAATGTAATTTGTTGTTGTGTTGTTGGTCTTGACTTTACACCCTCCCGGCTCCAGGAGTGGGAACAGCACAGGTCAGGCAGTGCCACGGGCAGTGTTGGGTTTACCTGGGGCTTTTCTGTTAATAGAATACTGTTAATACTTCCCTTCGGAGAACTGTAACACAGGCGGGGTTTCCTACAGTAGACACTGAGGCCAGGACTTCACCAGCTTCAGAGAACAATTCAGATAGAGTCGGGTAATCTTCCCGTGGATGGAACATTTCATAAACAATGCCACTGTCTGGAGTGGGGCAATGTTTTAGGCTTCCTCTCTCCATATAAATTATGACTGTTGAAGAATCCTTTGTCCTGAGTGGCTAATCCCTTGGTACAAGGGGCGAGTTCCAGTAGACATATACCTCGTTGGGCAGGTTTATCTAATGACCTGGATGCTATATTGATGCCGGGAGTATGGAATCTGGAGGTAAACTGAAATGCATCGTCTTAGAAGGTCTTGAGATTTGTGCAGTTACTAAATTTGTTAGAAAGAATGTTGTTGATAATTAATTCGAGGAGAATATTTGCCCCGACCCCCAAAAGGAGAGAAACATAATCAGTGCAAAGTGTGAGGACGAGCAAATTGATGGCAGTCGCTAGCAATATCATGAGCTGTTAGTTTGACTGTTCTGTAATATTCCTCTATCTTCGAGCTCCGTCTAGTTTGTACTTAATGGGGTGAAATGACCATAGAAATGTCTTCCTCCCAACATGTATAACCTCACGCTTTTCTGCATTAAATCTTATCTGCCACCTCTCTGCCCAATCTACCAGTCGATCTGTGTCCTCCTACAGTTGCTTGCAATTTTCCTCACCATTAGCCACACTCCCTATTTTTATGTCGTTAGCAAACTTTACATCTCGTTTTGCAGCAAACATTTTGAAAAGCCTCCTCAAAAAAAAGCATGTGCATCACATCCACAGCCCTTTGCATAATTATCACAGGCGATGTGTGATAAAATGCCACTAGTTTCACCCCATAATCATGAGTGTCACGCAGTAAGTTTCAAACCCTGCCCAGAACAAGCCTCCGTGTGCGTTTGACCAGACTGCCCGAGTGTAGAAACACTGACTGCCCAGGGCCCTGGGAAGTCCTCCTGATGTGAAAGACGCTTCACAAATTTAATTTTGTTGTGGTTGTGGTAATTATTAATAATAATAATCCTTGCATTTCGATCTAGTGCCTTATCATGTCGTAAGACATCTTAAAGCCTAAACACAGAATGTACTGTGAAGTGAATCGACTGTATGTTGTGGGCAAAACGCGGCAGACAATTGTCCCTCATCTACTCCACCTCACCACTGGCCTGCGAGATGAACTTTCAAGGCAACCCTGCCCCCTGCTCTCTGAAACTCCATCCAGGAGGCCCCTCGGCCTCACCCTCCCTCCTCGCCTTCAAAACCTGTGTCAAGACCTCTCTCTTCAACAGCACTTATGACCAGATTTTTGCTTCCCTCCCCCTCCCCCCCAGCTCACATTCCCAGTCATATGAAGAGCTTTGAGCCATCCTCCTGCCGTGTGTAAATGTAATTTGCTGTTGTCTTTAGGTAACCAGCATAATTTTTGTCTGAGCTCTGACGAAAGGTCATCGACCTGAATCGTTTCCTCTCTCTCCATAGATGCTGCCTGACCTGCTAACGTGTTCCCAACGACTTCTGTCTTTATTTCATTCATGTCTGGGTTGCGCTCTCACCTAACGTTTCCTCAATAGAAATCAAGGAGATAGTGAGTGGACCGATACTGTCAGCCATTTCCTGTCACCTTTCACTGTTAGCAGAAGGCATCGGTCCAAAGGAAACAATAGGAACTTCCATTACTTTCAACAGGGACGTGTTTGTGTGGGTCTGTGGGGTGTTGGCGGGAGAGGTGGGGTGAGGGGGGGGGATGGGTTTGAGTGCTGGCTGTTGGCAAAGCTGGGTGAAGTGAGAAGTGAAGGAGTTAACATGATGAGGCATCTGAATCATTGCATCGATCAACACAACCACACAGGGCAGCAACAGCAATAGCGCATGTAGAGACAGCATCCCATTCCATCCTCTGGTCACCGAAAACCCATGTATGTGATTGCATTCTCCTTCACATTTTTCAGCGATCATTTCTCAATTTGAGGCCACTCCAGTTTCCCTGTGAGAGAAGGAGACTGCAGTGTGTTAAGAAGATTTTCATACTCAGAGAAAATGACTGGGTTTTGGATAAACGGTCGGATTTATCCTGGCACACGCTGAGGTCCGTGCTTCTCTCCACCGCGTGAATGACTGGCGAAGGCGATGCTGTCTCTCGCTTTGCAAATGAAAGCAAAATACACAGCCAAAAAATTAACAGCCTCGAAAACGTCACAGAGAAAGTGGTCCTGGAGGGCAAAGGTTATTGGGAACAAGTGGGAGGTCAGAGGAACCAGGTCAGAAACAAGGGCAGTTACTAAAATAATAATCATTATTATTCTCGTTTCTGTTTCTAACCATTTTAGAGACTAAACTACACTCGGCCTGAGAGTTCACAAAGACTCGTTAACACTAGGAAGGTTTCTGTGCTCGGAAGTTAGCTTTGCTTATGAGTGAGGCGGAAACAACACACGTGTTACTGTTAGCGTGATGATTACTTACATGGTGAAAATAAAAGAAGTTAAAAAGCAGAATATGCCAGGCCCATGAGATGGACAGAAAAAGGTAAAAAAAACAAAAGGAACAAAGAAAATAAGAGGTTAGTTAGACAGCAACGAACATGCGTAGTATGCCAGGACCCGCACTGACAGGACTATCAGAAACACCAACCCCAAACAGGTAATATTATCGTAATAATAAGCCTTGCATTTGACATAGCGCCTTATCATGTCGTCGAGACGTCTCAAAGCGCTTCACAGGATGCACTGTAAAGTGGAGTGACTGTATTTTATGGCGAAATGTGGCAGACAATTGCAGTGTCCCACAAACAGTCGTGCATTGAGCGATCAAATAATTATTACTTTTTTTAGGGGAGGGATTATTACCCCCGAAAGTGACCCGCCAATCGACTAAAAACCGGGTTCCTACTTACTGCTGGCTAAACAGAGGCGTGTGGAGTGAGGAAACTTGCCTAAGGTTTTGCTCTGACCCGCCCGGGAATCAAACTCACGTCTTCTCTCTTGCTCGCAATAAACGCGACTCATCATCGTGAAGTCAGAAGCCAGAGCTTCTCTGTCCAATTGCCTTTTGTTTTATCTTTTAGAACCGGTTATTATTTTATTATTTCCAACTGTTATTCCTCGCTCGTTTACCACCATCCCCACACCTCTACCCCCCTTCCCCGGGAGAGCTTTCCCCTCTCCGTACATTGCTTAACGAGGCATTATTCTTTTGCTCGACTGCTCTCCGTGTTTGTCGAGCTAAACCCTAAAGTGGACTTGCTCTCAGTCTGCGCAGGTGGTGTCAGTCGCTTCACCAGACTTCCACCCTCCACTGTCTTGAGACATCCTCCCAACATGGAAGGCACTATACAAATGTAATTTGTTGTTGTTGTCCGAGCTCGGGCACTCTCACTGTCAGCAGTAATCGCTTCTTAAGCAGTGATACGCAGTGCTGTTTGACAGGTACACCACTGATTAGCTTTCCACCCCACCCCCCCCCCCCACCCCCCCACCTCATCTAACTGACGCACAGCTTTTCAGCAGTCAGAACATTTGTCAAGACTTTTTATTCTCGTTATCTCCGGGCTCCTTGCACGTTGCCACGGAGGCAATTAACTCACTTAAGGTCCCCAATCATGTCATTAACCGTTAACTCGAGATTAATTCGAAAAATTTGTTCTACTCGTGGAACGATTTGGAAATATTTCAGGCCAAGTTATGAATACAAAAACCAATTACTGGTTAATAGATCTTGGGTGATGATGAGGAACATGATTAATGCGTGATAAACAAAAAGTTAAGGATGACATTGTGTAACATGGAGCAATCATATTTGGTGCAAAACCTCAGGAACTTGAAAGCTTATCCTCCTGAAGCAAGTCCAGTTCCCTGGCTCTCTAAAGCTGCCGTTTACGGTGATTTATGCCACTGTTTGTACACTGTTATCAATCAATTTAATATTTTAAAGTATTACGCGGCAGGATGGTGATAAATAAGACCTCTTTGCTGGCCGCTGACAGCGAAGATGAAATACTATTGATTTTTCATTTCTTTTACAGCAAACCGATGGGCAACCAAACGGCAGGCCTGGGTTTGTGCAGGTCTGGTGTGTGTGGACAACACAGAGAGGACCTTACTGCTGTAACTGTTACTGCCTCGCCACTCCCCCACTCCTCCCACTCCTCCCCCCCATTTGCCTCCTTCAAAACCCATCTCCTCTTTGACCGTGGCTTCGGTCACCCCCCGACTCCTACCCTCCCCGCCCTCCACCCCTCCCGATCCCAACCACCATCTCGGCTGCATATATCCCTGACTGCCCAGCGGCTTGGGACGTCCTCCTGACATGAAAGGCGCTGTGTAAGTGCAATTTGTTGTTGCTGTTGTAACTAAAAGGGAGATGACAGCCGACGTCAACGGGACAAGCTCTCTCTCTCTGGCCTCTTCACTCTATTCTAGATGTAGTTTGTCCGAACCAAGCACTGCCCATTTATTAACCGGCTGTTAACATGACCAGTTGAGGGCTGGGACGGCTAGCACCATGCTGTGGCGCTCTCTGGACGAGCTCGGAGACTTTTGATTCGATAGTTCCTGCGACAGAATTATGACGGAGGGAATGATCATATTTCTGATACGATAATTCAGAGGGCCGCCTGCCTGCTTTTGGCACTCAAGCCCTTGCCTGCGTCTGTTTGGTTCTATTTAGGAACCCTACAATAATCCTCGCCTTTGGCACGGCTCCTCATCACGTCATCAAAACGACGCACAGGGCTTCACGGGATACAACAGTGCGAGTGGAGTGACCGTGTATAGCTTGTGGGCGATATAGATTAATGAAACGGAGCCCTGGCAGTGCGGAGAGAGGTGTGTGGTGACCCCCCCCCCCCCACCCCCCCACTCCCCCACATCCCCACCCCTCCCCATCACACCCCCCCACCCGTGCAGGGAGAGAAGCTGAGAAGAAGCTGCAATGAAGCCAGAGAGGAGAGTGTCCGTACTGACCTTGATTCTGAGATGAGCTTGTTGGCTCACTTACTTCTACAAACCGGAAAAAATAGGGTGGGGTGGGTGTGGGTGGGTGGGGAGAGTGTGTGGGAGGTGGTGGGGGTGGGGGGGTTGTTGGGAAGAAAAGAAATGCAAAAAATACAGTTTACACAATCCGTTACAGTCAGGGTACTCAACATAAGTGAAGGCGTGACAACACACATGCAATAACATGGATTAGAAATGTGATGAGGTTAGTCTGTTCATGGTGGTGCAACATGGGACTGAGCGGAAGGAGGAGGGTGGGGGGGGGAATCAATCCACCTGCTCTTAATTGTGACGAGGCGGGTTAGACCGTGATCTGAGCGTGTTACATTGCCGACATGTTACTCTGCCATCTTAGCGTGTCACACTTTGGTCCCGGCGTGTTACAGTGTGACCTCGGCCTGGTTAGCGTGTTACTCTGCGGTCTCGGCGTGTCACGCTGGGAGCCTGACGTGATACCGCATGACCTCAGCGGGAACGAATGCGGACAAACATGCTTCGCTGATTAGAGCTGTGGCCGGTCACGGCACGAACGAGGGTGAGAGTGGGGGGGCTGACTGTGGACGAGGAGAGGAAATCTCTGAGCCATGACCCGTCGGGACGAAGCATTTGATGTGTGTCTCCCACCCTCTCTCCCTAACAACGGTCCTCAGCTGCTTAACCACAGCTCTTGCTCGATTTTCGGTGTCACCAGGTTAAGGTGGGGGGGGGGGGGGTCACCTACCAAAGAGCAGCACGCTGGTGTTAGAGAATCCCAGCTTGTTGATGGCCACACAGGTGTAGTTCCCGTAGTCCTCTTCCGAGACATTGAAGAAGGTTAGCATAGACTTGCCGTCTATGTTCTTAATCTGCACTCCGTTCAGTCCATTGGAGAGTCTGCCGGGCACAAGAGAGAAGCTCTCAGCTTGATTTTCGCCGATCATAAATCCTCCCGTGGCGAGCGTTCACTAACCTGTCCCGCCCAACTATCCTCGCTCAACCAACCAACCAACCAACCAATCAATCAACCAACCAACCAACCAACCAACTAATCAATCAATCAATCAATCACCTCACGGCTCTGTGTAAACTGTCCAGCCGCGCTCGCTTACAAAAACACTCGTGTTAGGCGTCCCTACTTTACTGCTAGTCAAACAGAGGTGTGCGCTTGCGTGGAGCGAGGAAACTCGTCCCCGGTTTCGCCCCCACCCCCCCCTCCTCCCCCCCCCAACCGGGGAATCGTATGGCTGGCGAGACGAGTGCTCTAACCCGTTGCACTACAGGGCTCCACGTGGCCAATGTTCTCGCCAGGGTGGCAGTGAGCTGCCAGCCGCTGAGCTCGGGGCGTGTGCATCCCTGATAATCAGACGGTTCGGGGGGACGGAGCAATGGGCAAACCTGAAGCTAAAACTCTCCCCGCCCTCCTGTGAAAACACTGAGATGCTCCGTCCACGGTGAACGGTCGAGCCCCGGGCTAGCAAGGGGCCCTGTCCCTGTCCTCCAGTGGCTGTAATGAGATCTGCAATGACGCGAAGTACCTCTGCTCTTCCTTGTACCATTCGAATTCCGCCAAGGGAACAGCGAAAGCCTCACACCTCAGGATTCCCTTCTGGCCGACTGCTGCCCCCACACTCCTGCCGTCCGACATGTAAGGCGCGTCTGCGCAGACCAGAGACAAGCACCGTGAGTGCGACAGCACTGAGTCCCGCTGATTCATTACACAGATTAAGTAATAATAATACTAGTAAATCCTTTCATTTGATGTAGCGCCTTATCACGTCTTCGAGACGTCTCAAAGCGCTCGGTATATTTCACTGCTTTGCGGGCGAAACACGGCAGCCAATTGCGCACAGCAGCGTTCCCCACAAACAGCCGCGGATTCAACTCAGGAATGAGGGGAGCAGCCAACCTGGGGAACATCGCGTATTAATCGGTCGCCGTTAATTCAGACGCAGCGGCTGGGACTCGAGACAGGATCTCGCTGAGAGAAATCAGAATTTTGCCATGAACCGGGCGACGGTTCCTCCCAACGACACCGCAGAGCGAAGCAAACGTTGGTCGATTCGAGAGAGAGAGAGAGAGAGAGAGGTGGAATTTGGGGATGCAAAATGTTAGAGGAAAAGGCAGACGGGAACGTGAGACAAGTGCCAGTGCGTATCGGTGGACAGTCTGGCCGAGGGGACTCGATAACAGTCACCCTTGCTTTTGGTATAGTTCCTTAACACACAGGAAGCAGGGAATTCTCAGTTTGGTTTGAATGCTCTTAAGCACGGGGTCGGGTTTCCGCGGGTGACAGACAGACAGACACTCGGCTGGCCAGAAAAAAAACATCAGAGAGCAAATTGGCTGTTGTGTTTGCCCGCAAATACACAGTCATTGAGTCTTCACTGCAAGCTCTTTGTGAGACATTTTCCTGTGCGAAAGTCCAAGCTGTCATTGCTGATGGGCGGTAATTACAGACTTCACGCCTGTGCCAATCATATTCCTTTGATACCACAAAGCCAAATGTTTTTTGCCCGAATTGTTTGCGAATAAAGTCGGCCCCTTGAGCGAGAGAGATGAATCCTCTATGCTTTAAGAGCTTTGTGACGACCAATTTGAAAGCGAAGGCAAATTAAGCATCTCAAAAAAGGGCTGAGGTTTTCATGTTATTATTGAACTAGGTCTAAAATGACAATTTGACTTCAGCGCTAATGACGAGCTCACAATCAATAGTTCAGACATCAGTCAATCTCCCGATTTTAATGGTCGTTTGAATGAACAGAAAGTGCACTCACCCCCATTAAAGGCAATGCTATAGAGAAAGGACTCGAGTTTGATTCCTGGGCGGGCTGAAACCTTAGGCAAGGTTCCTTACTCCACATACCTCTGTTTACATAGCAGTAAGTCGGAACCCGGTTGTTAGTCGATTTGGTTTCTGGGAGTAATATTTCCACCCTTCAGGGGGAGTGGGGTTATAGAGATTCGCAAGAAAAGACCCCCATTGACATAGGACCACCACAGATTCAGGGCCCAGATGAACCTGGGTTCAACTGTTTTTTCTGAAGATTAAGTTGGAGACTTATCTTCACCTCGAGACCACACAGGGAGAAATCGTAGAATCTTACAGCACAGATAGGAGGCCAGCCAGCCCATCGTGCTCTTTGGAAGTGCAACCCAATAAGTCCCGCTCCTTCCCAATACTCCTGCCGATTTTTCCTTTTCATGTAGCTATCTGATTCCCTTTTGAAAGTTGTCATTGAATCTCTTTCCGCCCACCACCCTTTCAGGCAGTGCATTCCAGACCAATGTCACTGTTTTTAATGGGGAAACTTGTCAGGTTGATAATAAGGAAACTTTCCGACTTGTTTATAAGATGTAGGTCGAGGCTGGTAAATTTAGGATTAAGGGGATTTACGCTTTAATTAGTTTGTGAGCCCTCCATTGTTGTGCTCTCTTGGTTTATACAGAGAGAGACCAAAAATTCGTGATGCCACTGCAATGTCCAATAAGTCTTAAAGAAATGTTTTTCTTTAGATAATAGGGTAGTTATCATGACGTTTTGGTCACCTTGTACATCTTGTGAGAAGGGGAGGAGACTAATAGCACAGTTCATTCTCTCAGAACATCTTAAATCTGCCTGAACGGGTGGTGGGTGGAAACAGATCCATTGACAACTTCCAAAAGGGAATTAGACAGGTACTTGAAAAGGAAAAATTTGCAGCGGTGTGGAGAAAATGTGGGGAAGTGGGACTGATTGGATAGCTCTTCCAAAGAGCTGGGACAGGCAGGATAACCTAATGGCCTCTTTCTGTGCTGTAATATTCTACGATGCTATGATCTGCTCCTCTGCAAAATACCCCTCTCCTTCTCGGCTTTCTCTGGGACTTGCTGTTCCCATGGCATCGAGGGCAGTGTCGGCAGGCAAGGGAGGGGAAATGGCTGTCGTGGGGTCAGGTACTGAGAGTGATGCTGCAGTCACGAGAGCCAGAGGTGGGCAAAGTGTTCTGTCGTCGACGCTAAATAAAAAAATTTCTTTTGCTCAGGTTCACACAGACCTTTTATGGCTTTTGAGCGTTAGCCCCGGAAAGCGATCCTCCAATCGACTAACAAACTGCGAGGTAAACAGAGGTGTGCGGAGCGAGGAAACTTGCCTATTGCTTCGTCCCATTCGGGGATCGAACCCGGTTCCTCTCGCTTGCGAGGCGAGTGCTCTAACCACTACGCTACGAGACTGCACTGTAAATAGCATTGCATTATACTGTCAGGCCCGGCTTTGCTCAGCTTAATGAGATCAACAAAACTCCCGGGAAGAAGTTGTTTGACTTACAGTTGACTATTATTTGGACTTTCCGTACATCAGGAGATGACACCTCATTCACCGCCTGGCACTCATAATCTCCCGCCTGCTCCTTGCTGATTCCTGTGATTTCCAAATACTCGTCTTCGCTGGCGAAACCTCGGACTGAAAAAGCAAGAAGAGACAGACGTGAAGCACAACACCTGACGGGCATCAAACTCTACTCACGTCTAGTCCGGTCAGTCCTGCAATCCTCTAGTTCATATTGGCCTGCGAGACCCTTTTGTCTGTGGTTTCCCCCCCACCCCACGACTCGCTGCCTCCGCTCGGCTGGCTCTCGCCTCCCGCTTGTACCCGCGTCCCCTCCGCTCCATCATCGGTGGCTGCGCTTTAAGCCACTACTCCCCGAAGCTTTGGAACTCTCTCCCTCAATCCCTCCGCCTCGCCCCCCTTCCCCCCTCCTTCCCCTCTTGAAGACCCTCCTCTTTGGAGCCAGCTGAGTGGAGGGAGCAGATGGGTCTATATGGAGTCAAAGCGCTCCAAGACACTGCCCGGCTCGAAGGTGCTACGTAAATGCAAGTTGTTATTGTTACCTTTGTTTCTAAGACGCAGAGAATGGTGGAAGATTCTGCAGTTCAATCGCCATTTGCACGTGATTTACACATTAAGCGCATAATAAACCCATTCTGTCTCTGTGCAGTAATAGCCAAGGCACCGAGTGGCAGAGATAGCACCAGAGAGCAGGTGAAAGGTGCAGCCATCCAAGTTGTTGTTGCTGCTGTTGTTGTTGTTGTTGTTGTTGTTGCCCAGTTCTCAGTCAGTCTGTGAGGTGTGTGTTGCGTGGGGCCTGACCCAACCCAAGCTGTAGCTGAGAGGCAGCGGAGCTCAATCAGCAGCTAAACCGCTTTATCGAGCGCAGATTGTCGAGTGACTTGAACTTTAACTCTGCTTCGAAACCCTCGGGCAAGTCATGAGTCACCACAGCTGTCACGGTCACAATTTGCACACGCGCATTTCCTCCGTCCGTGCACACACATGCAATGTAAGCGTACGGTCAGGGAGAGAGAGAGAGAGAGACTATAACAAATGATCGCTTCACAGCCCCTGGATTGGCTTGGCTGCCTTTTCGCTGGTAAGTTTGCGGGTCGCACGCGCTCAGTATTTTTATACCATTGAGTAAGAGTCAGGAGAGGCCCAGGGTGCAGCCGGCACCGAGCCTAGGAAGAGTTTGACGGAGGCTTTCAGTGATCAGGAACCGGTGACTCTTGTTTTGGTTCAGCCGGTTCAACCCATCACCATAAAAACGCTATCGAAATTGCCCAGTTATTGCTGTGGAATACTGGTAAATTGGGCCAATGCTGGGATACCGGGGAGACAAAGTCTTATTACGTTATAATAATTATTATAATAATCCTTGCATTTGATATAGCGTCTTATCATGTCTTAAAGATGTATATTTTGGGGCGAGAAACCTGGCAGCCAATATCTGCACAGCAGTGTCCCACAAACAGCCGTGGATTGAAGTGACCTAATTACTTTTTTTACATTTTATTTTTGAAGAGATTATTAATCCCGGAAAAGCGATCCGCCAGTCGACTAGTGACCGGGTTCGTACTTACTAAACAGGGGAGTGTGGAGTAAGGAAACTTGCCTAAGGTTTCTCCCCGCCCTGGAATCGAACCCGGGTCCTCTCGCTTGCGAGGCGAGTGCTCTAACCACTGAGCTACAGGTCTCCACGTTCAAACCTTGAGAACTTTGATGGAAGGGAGCTTGAAAGGAAGAGTTGGAGATAAGGCAAAGTGAGACATCGTATCTGCAGTAAAGTGGGTAATGAACTGAAAGACTGGGCAGAATAGATTTCAGGCTGTCTCCAACGCTCCCTCCAACATGAATAAAACACGCTGTGTTTCCTTTAGCTCGGACACTGTTAAATATTTCATGAAGCAACAGAACAGATAACATCTCCAAGCAGTGGGCCTCAAAGTTAACGGTGAAACAATGTGCAATGGCTGTCAATCAGCAGCGCGCGCGCAAACACACACACACACATGCTCGCGCGCCTGAGCAAGCAATATTCTTCACCCACTTCTCACGCAGAATGGTTTGAGGGGAAAGGAAGGGCTGAGGGGCTTGCGAGGCGTATCATTGCACCCGGTCTTAGCCTCTCCGAGCCTAGCGGCCCTGCAGCAATTTAAAACTATAGCTGCAGAACGCAGCACAGTACAGTAAAGTAACAACAACAACTTGGATTTATATGGCGCCCTCCACGCCGGACGGCGTCTCAGAGCGCTTCACAGCAACGGATCCCGGGACCGAGTCCAGGGGGAGGTGACCAAAGGCGCGGTCGAAAAGAAAGGGTCTTCAGCAGAGACCTGAAAATGGGAAGGGAGGGAGCGAGGGGAAGGGAGAGAGGAAGGGAGTTCCAGAGCTTTGGGGCATAGTGGCTGAAGGCACGGCCGCCGAGGGTGGAGCGGAAGACTCGGGGGAGTAGGAGTCAGGTAGTGGGTTGGGGAGTACGCAGGTTGGAGAGTTAGGGGGGTGCCAGGACACGAAGGGATTTGAAGGCAAGTGCGAGGATCTTGAAATGCTGCGCAGCTCATCATCTTACAGACAGAGTACAGCTCTTCAATGAGCCAATTACCTGTTTCAGCCATTAAGCCCTTTGGCAGATTGACAAACAGGACTCTGGCCCTTCAAAACAAGCTAATTAATGCTCTCACAATATTCAGTCACTGGAGAGGTTGGCAGCATCACTGCTCTCCGAGACTGTACCCATCACAGCAATGTTTATTCCTGCTAAATTAAACACCTTCATTTAATGAAGCGTGCGGAGGGATTATATATTTCCATGCAGAAACACACATACCCTGTGTTCGATCTGGATTCTTAATCATGAGGATTGGGTTATTCTGTTGAAAGAATAATCACCGATTCTGCCTTCCTCCTGTGCGTAAGTGATACAACTTCAACCCGAGGGCTTTACTGGATTTCCAATTTGTGGAGAAACGTTGGGCAAGTCTCCTTATTCCACACGCCTCCGTTTACCTAGCAGCAAGTAGGAACCCAGTTGTTGGTCGATTGGTGGTTCGCTTTTCAGAGGAAATAATTCCTAAAAAAAAATATGTTGTCAATCGACTGTTTGTGGGGACGCTGCTGTGCGCAATTGGCTGCTGCGTTTCTCCCACAAAACACACAGTCCCACTGTACAACATATTCTGTGAAGCGCTTTGAGACGTCTCAACGCCGTGATAAAGCGGAATATCAAATGCAAGGATTATTATTATTATTATTATTTCGGTCATCCTTCCCCTCCCCACTCCCCTGGGCTCCCACCTCCGGCCAGCAGTGTCAAGCTCCGACTCGAAAGGCATTATGTACAATTGTAAATTGCGTTGCAATTTTCCCTTTCCCCACACACTGTTTCTAAGGCAATGAAACAAGGTGAAGGCGAGGAGAGCGAATTATGTTTGGTAGTAACAGTAAGCCACAACCTATTTCGGTTCTGTGGTAAGTTTAATTAAATTGGTTCCCAAGATGGAAACAGCTGACAGATCTATCAAACCGACAAAACAACTCAGTGATTCTCAATCTCAGTGGTTCTACCATCAGTCTGCACGACTGGGTCTCTGGTCATGATGACGACTCTCAAATCAGGTTCCATATTTCCCAATTGGCTTTTCGAAAGTTTAATGAAGGTTCAGGCCAACTGAACGCACAAGAGTCTGTCCCGAATACTCAGCCTCTTTCATTCTGAATTCCGTAGGACAGTAAAAGGAATCCATTGTACTAGTCTTGGTCTTTGCTCCTCTGATGAAACGGTATCTGTCCTTGTGTCCTCTAATGTAAGGGAACCTCATTATAACACGGCCCCTGTGTCCAGTAGATCAAAGGTCATCTTTTAGGTGAAGTGCAAAAAGTTGCTGACTTCCAAGTCATCGTTGTGACTTGGGCACACTCTCGGGCAGCAGGAAGTGACACCAGTCGTACTTCACAAACACAGACGCGAAAACAAATACGCCCGCCCACACATAGGCAAACACACGCCCGCACACAAACCCAAACAAACAAGTGTGCGGACACGCACAGTACAACCAAACAAACAGCACGCCCGCAAACCTGGACAAACAATTGAAAAGGCTGCCCGATGCTGCGATGGGAGGATAGTGTCCTGGATGGATGAGATCAGATGGGCCGAAGGGCCTTCTTCATCCAGATCAATCTTGTGATCTTGTGAACGCACGTAGACATAAACACACACAAACCCAAACACACACACACACACACACTGTGTGAAAGCATAGAGCACATTGCACTCACTGTATGTTGTCACCCAATGTAATGCGTGTTACATTATTTATTCCCTCCTTACAGTAATGTGTAACAAACACTGGGGAGCAGGACTGGCTGATATTTGTCACCAGGAAAATCAACTTCACCAGCAAACCATTATCTCTGTTTTGGTCAGCCAGGTGTCTGACCCATCAGTCGGGTGATTGACTGACAGATCAGTGTAATGTTGCGGAGGAACTCTGCCGTGTGCCTCGTGTTAATCATCACATCAAACAGGTTAGGAAACTTCACAGCTGGTATCCTTCTCTCTTCCCCACTCCCCCCCTCTGCCTTGTGCGAAGAAATGGCCGGCATTGCCCTGGCCCGTTGAGAGCCATCGGCCATGATAGGAACACAGGAACAGAAGGAGGTCATGCAGCCCCTCGAGCCCGATCCCCATTCCATTTTGTTAGATCACGGCTGATCTGTACCTCAACTCCAATTGCCCGCCTTTGCCCCAGATCCCTTGATACCCTGACCTAACAGAAGTCTAACCACCACCACCACCACCACCAACAACAACAACAACTTGGATTTATATGGCGCCCTTCACACAGGGTAGCGTCCCAGAGCGTTTTGAAGTTGGTGGAGCACACGACTCAGTCTTGAAAATTTGAATGGATCCAGCGCACAACTATTACATAATAATAATAATAATAATACATCATTACATGCACCCATTTAACATGGGCAAGAGCAGAGTGAGGCGCATGGGGATTATCAGCTCCAGTCTAGAGACAGACACAAACCCTTAGTGTAAATAACATTTAAATGGATCATTAATTAACAAGAAGATTGGGTTGTACACCAGGAATTTTTTTTCTGCGCGGGACTTA